TTTGATAAACACATTATAGACCAATCAAGTGGTATGACATGCTTTGGACTTCGGACATAATTTAGTATAACTGAGTTGTAGGTTACAGGTGATGGTGAAATGAGACAGATGAATCCAGAGAGGAATGTCATGGTCCATTTGTAAGAAGTCTTAAATGACACACTAGGGGTTTGGACAGAAGCATGAAGATTCAAAAGGAAACCACTAAAGAGTTTTAAGCAGAAGAATAACCTGATAAGATTTTTGTTCAGAAGTATTACCCTGGCATCAGTGTGGATGATGGGATATAGAGCAGACATAAGCAGGAAGGAAATTGGAATAATATTTTAATTTTCCTAAAATAAGATTAAAATAGACTTGAATTGATATACTTGGTGACTAATAGAACAGGCGAATGAAGGGAGAAGAAATTATTTTGGATGATTCTGATTCTCACATGTGCTTGCCTCCATCACTAAGTTTATAATGGAATACATAGACAAAGAATATTTTAAAGCTACAACTCTGCACTTTTCTACTTTCCCTGATATTTATCACAAGACCTATATTTTACTAGAAACATGAATCTTGTAGAAGTTCCTGTTATTATGATGGAGTCAACAAGGTCATAAGAAGCCCAAAGAGGATCAATTGACATCCTTCTGATGTTGACTTTTGTGCTGCACTCCTTGGGGACATGCCAGAGCTTTATCTCTGGATGCACCGGAGCCGCAATTTCTACAGCCACTCTTACAATGCAGAGACAAACATTCCCTCCCTGGAGAACAATGTTAGCTAAATGTCCACAAGACTGTTGGGGGAGATAGCACGTATTCTTGGAGGTATGTGAGTCAGGCCATCTTAAAGGCTCCATTGCAGTTTCTATGGTTGAACATGTGACAATGTGTGTGCATAAAGGAGGCATGAGTAGTAGTCCAGAGAATTTTTTTTTCAATGAAAGATTGTGTTATTTAAAGCCACCCCATTTATTTATTTATTTATTTATTTATTTATTTATTTATTTATTTATTTTTGTCTTTTGGTGTCACGGAAGGCGACATTCCTTTTAATCTGGCTGTCTGGTGACACCACAGTGGTGACTTATCTTCAAACTGATCATAGCAAAAAGGAATTTCCCTTTGATAGCAGAATATCCTACAACAGTTTTATGAAATAGTCTACATTCACATAAAATGTTAAAGTTTGGGGTCTTAGAACAGTTGTATCAAAAGGATCTTCTTTCTGCCCTTGCTGAAGAGAGAGTTATAGCCCATGATCCCAGAGGGGCTCTGGCTACAGGGGGATTATAGGCAGTGGGTATCACTAGGAACCCCCCCCAAAATCCCCAAAGGCTCTTATCACTCACCCGACAACCCCAGAGCACACACAGCACCTTCTGCCATAATCATTCTCAAAAAACAGTGCTAACTACAGGCCTTATTCAATCAAAAACCCTTTAATGACCTGCTGCTTTTGGTCTCTAAAAGCACTATCATCTTCTCCATTTTAAATTCCATGTGTTTGTTGGAGAAACTGAGCAATTTGTCCTGTAGAGTGTCCAACATTATGGATTTGGCTGATGGACCTTTTCTGGTTTCTTCCAACTTGCTCCTTTATCCCCAACACTGCCTAATCATCTGACAACATAATAAAACCTCGAGGCTTAATTAACTTTAGGTTCAATTGTTCCCTTATTTCTTTCTACAAGATCACTTCATGGGGAGGGGGTATGCACTTCTTGTTTCATCAGATTAGGCAGCAAATAATGTCTGTTGGCATACTTCTAGTGATGTTAAAATTATTCATGGGTTCCAAGACATTCTTCTGATTCCTGCATGCCACTGTTCCCCATCAACTGGTCATGCCCTGATTTCTGCATCCACAGATGATTGTTACCTAGATGCATACATTAATTAGGGGCATATCCTAACATTGCAATGCATGTATTAGGTAAGATTCTTATATAAGTAACATTCTCTCATACACTATTTAGTTTCCTTGTGGTACAGTTTTTTGTTTTTTTAGATTTTTTTCTTTAATGATTTCAGAGAGAGGAAAGGAGAGACAGAGATAGAGAGATAGAAACATCACTGAAAGAGAACATCCATTGGCTGCCTCCTGCGTGCCCCCCAATGGGGATTGGGCCCACAACCTGGGCATGAGTCCTGACCAGGAATTGAACTGGCGACCTCTTGGTGCATGGGTTGACCCTTAACCACTGAGCCACACCAGAAGGGCTGTGGTACAGTTTTTAAAGGATAAAAAAAGAAAATGATTTATTTATTATTTTGTTAATTCATTTTTCAAAGTAGAGTGCCCCGGAAACCTCCAAAAATGACCAAAGATGTATGTGTGTGTAATTATGAACTCATTTTATATTCATAATTAAATACATATAGATGTTGTGGTGGTTATATATTTTGATGCTCAGAGTGTTGCATTTTGGGCCATTGGGAGCCCCTTAATGTTACAGTCCTGGTTTTTTAGTGTATGTATGACATGATTTATTAGTCTTTGATAGTTTCCTTGCTTGTTGGAATTAGGTTGCCCAGATTCACCTTACATATTCTCTGTCCCAGACCTGGACTCAGCAATTTCTTCTAAGAGCCCCGGCCCTGGTTCCTTTTAGTGAGAAATAATATTTAGAGACCACTTACTGCTACTGGATTGTCATTGCTTCAAGGACTTTTCAGTAGAAGGGTGGAAGTACATTCTTTCGGAAAGAAAAAACAAATTTTGAGTTCATACTATTTGTAATTTCAATTTCAAAATTGATGGTTTTTTTTTCATTTCTTAATTTTATACTTATATCTTTTTTTCTCTTAACATTGAAAATCATGACTTGTAAAGAAATGTAAATACTTATATTTTCTAACAGAATATATATTAAGTCTGGCCAGTGTGGCTCAGTGCTTGAGCATTGACCCATGCACCAAGAGATCTCCAGTTCGATTCCTAGTCAGGACACAGGCCCAGGTTGTGGGCACGATCCCCAGTGGGGAGCATGCAGGAGGCAGCTAATCGATGTTCTCGCTCATTGATGTTTCTCTCTCTCTCTCTCCCTCTCACTTCCTCTCTCTCTTAAACCAATGAAGGGGGAAAAAAGAATATATATTATAATATAGTATTCAATATGATAGTTCCAAAATAACATTATCAATATTACTAATAACAATAAGGCTACTAAATGCATTTTCAGATTCCTTCAGAATTTACTTGACCCTTAAGAGTATATCCCCCAAAAGAGATATAGTCAAAATACTGGTTTTATTTTTATTTTTTTAATCCTCACCCGAGGATATTTTCCCATTTATTTTCAGACAGAGTGGGAGGAAGAGAAAAGAGGGAGAGAGAGAGAAACATCGACGTGAGAAAGACACATCCATCGGTTGCTTCCCACTCCACCCCAACCAAGGCAAACAGCAACCGAGGTATGTGCCCTTGACCAGAATCGAACCCATGTCTCTTTGGTCCATGGGTCAACCCTCTAACCGCTGAGCCAAACCAGCCAGGGCCAAAATACTGGTTTTAAAAGTCACCGAAAATAATTATATATCCCTCGTGTTGTTATGCCACTGTTTGATATTCACTGGGTTCCCTTATTTTTTATTTGTTTCCAATTTTAGAGAGAATGCTTTATATTCTTTTAAATTTAATTTTGGTTTTGAATTATATAAAATATTTACATGGTCTAAAATCAAAACTATATAGCAACATGCATCCACATAAATTTTATCTCCATATCTATCTAATCCTGTTTCCTCCCTACCCCATAAGCAACCACTTTTATTATCTTTATATCTTCTGTGACTTGTGTGTATGTATTTATACATATTGTTCTAAACCCTGCTTTTCTTAAAGTATTCTGAGGATCAAGTGATATCTCTATATAGGTATTTTGTTAATTTCTCATCTATAATTTTTTCAACCAGTCCCCTATTAATGAGCATCTGGTTTATTTCCAGTTTTCCCAAAAAATACATCAATGAATGTCCTCAGGCATATACCATTCTATATTTTTGTCACAATACCATTGGCATAGATTTTTTAAAGAGGGATTGCTTAAGCAAAGGACAAATGCATTTATAATTTTGCTACACCAAGGGCATACTTTTAAACATATTACTCTTGCCAGGAAAATGTAGAATTTTTTAAAGTATTTTTTATTACAATAAAAGAGAAAACTGTTCAACTGGAATCATATTTATCAAGAATATTTTATCAGTGGAATTTAAATTGTTAAATTCATGCACAGTCTCTGATGTCCTGTCAATAAAAACCTTGAACAGTTAAAAAATTTTAACTTCAGTGGTTTCCCATCCATTAAGTCTCAGGAAATAAAGTGATCACAGGATAACTATTAAAAGCCATCTATCTATATGTGTCCCCAAACATATACATGCGAGTGGAAATGGATGAATAGGTAGATAAAGAGAGAGACATTTTTCCCCTGAGAACATTTATGATTTTAATACATTGACAAGCTTTTAATTCAGTCAAAAATTTGGTCTATTAATTTTTAAATAATACAACAGAAATGGAAGCAAGTTAGCAGTGTCTACATAATCGCACTTGTAGAATTTTAAAACAACTGGTAAATCTACGAGTTTGTCGCCTTGGGCCTAAAATATAATCCAGCTTTTAAATGCAAAATAAAATGTATTTGCTGGCCCTTTTATGTTCACATGTGTTAAAAGAACATGATTATATTGTCTTACGTTTTTCAGTTACTATCATTGTCTGAAATCAGAAGAACAACCCCAAGAACTGGGTGAGTCCTATCTGCTTTCTAATGCAGAGCAAAATTCAACCATACAAAAAATAGTTAAATGGTAAATTAAAAATAACAGATTCACATTTGAGTAGCAGCTAGTTATGTTTAACAAGTGGACGCATTTTTACAAAAAGTAACTTCGGTCAATAAAAACTGGTGAATAAATCACTAATGATTCATGTACTCATATTACCATAGTATCCTTCAGATATAACCATAAGGCAATAACAGAATTCATAAGATGGAAAAAAAAAAAAAAAAAACAGACAGAAAACAAAAACAAAACAACCAGTTAAAATTGCTTCTTCTGAAGTTTCAGTCTTCTACCAGGAAAGAAAAGCTTTGGCATCTTCTTACGTAGTTTCTTCCTTGAGGCTAAAGTCAACAAAATAAAAATAAACATCACATCAGTCTGTAGGATCAAGGTAAATCACCATTTCCAATATGTTTACAAACGGACCTCATCTTATTTCTAATGATTATAAAGTCAGTTTTACTCAGTATCCACTCAGTTGATAGCGTTCTACCGTTAAACACAAGGGTGCAGCTACTGTCTACTGTAGGCAGCCAGAGTAAGCATGCTCACAAAACTGATCAGTACTAAAGTGCCGTTTATGTAGAAATAGTCTAGAAATGGCCATATGCTGGTGGTAAAATGGATACATAAAATATACTTTTGCTTATGAATTTTTTATAAAGTTGGTTTAAAAACTGAATAAGAAAAATTCACCTCCTTTTATGCAAATGCGTTTGCAATCCTTCATGCTTAGAAAGTTATTGTTATTCCCTCCACAGCCAGTATAGGTGAAGGTCTCACAGGCACCGTGTCTTGGATTAAAATAATAGCGAGTCACATTAGCAGAGCATAGTCCCTCATCTCTTGGACTGTAGCAATATGATGGACCTTTAAGAAAAAGGCAATAAAATTAGACATGCAATAATACCAGAATTAATAAACTCTGGTGGTTACTGAAGACACTGAAGAAAATATAATCCCATACAAGCTTCATGCTGAATCCAAAATATAATTTTAAACCATTTAAAAAGTATGCCTCAAATTTCAAGACAGCTTTACATGGCATATTTTGTTAATTCTAAATTTTGATAAACTGAACAGAATTTTCTGAAGCTATGTCCTTGTATCATTTGAATGTGTAACTAAATTAAACCCCCAAAACAGATTAGGTAAAAATGGGCTATGTTTTAAGTGATAATATATGACACGCTTGTGTTGGTAGTTTTATTTTCAATGTGTTTATCAGCTCTCTTTTCATTATTAATCAAGAATACATGTATCTAATTCCCAGGTAGCCACTGGAACATTTACATTTACACAAACAATTTAAGAAAACACCAGCAATAACCATCTCTTTATTAATTCAAGATTTTGCAAATTCGACACAGTATAATAGATGTAGAGCTTTATCAAAGACTCTACCAAGGCAAAATTTCCCTTGTTTAATTTATTTATCTACCTGTATGTATCTCTGCTATGTCTAAGGAAAAGGCCTGTATTGTTTCTTTCTACAAATATTAAATACTGCCCAAGTCATTTTAGGGACTGTGTGTGTTGGGAGGAGGTGTAGATAAGAAATGGGGAGGAGAGAGCCCTGGCTGGGTAGCTTAGTTGGTTAGAGCATCATCTTGATAAGCCAAGGTTTCAGATTCAATCCCAGGTCAGGGCACATACAAGAAGCAACAAATGAATGCATCAATAAGTGGAATAACAAATCAATGTTTCTCTCTCTTTCTCTCTCTCTCTCTCTCTCTACCCCTCTCCAACTCTTCCTCTCTCTCTAAAACCAATCAATAAATAAAAATTTTAAAAATCAGGAGGAGATCAAAGAGGGATAGAGATCTCGTTATGCTCTGTAATTTGCAATTACAAGGATACAGAAATCTAACCAAACACGTTAAAAAAAAATTTTCAAGTTTCACCATCTTAAGTCTATATACATTCTGCAATTTCATGTATACAACTCAGTCCATGCAAACCTGAGGTCATGACATTCATTAATGAATACATACTGTAATTTTATGTGTAAATCAAATAGATGAGATATATTTCTGAAGAAACAATGCAGAGGAGGAAGCAAAAACTTGAATCATGGCTTTGTGGCTAAGAACTTGGCAAGTCATTAGCTTCTAGTTTGTAATCTTATAGGTAAAAATGGCAATAATAATAATACTCCCTCACAGTGCAATAGTGTGAAGATTGATATTATATTGCTATGAAATTACAACAACGCGATGAAATAGAAACACCATAAAAATAGTATTTACGTTTCCTTGGTGCACAGAAGTCTCTGCAAGTAGCTTCATCCGGGAACTGGTTCGAATTGTGGTGACACCCACCAGACATGAATTGTTCACATGTCATGGAACTTAGATTGAAGAAATAGGCTTCTCGGGGCTCCCCACACTGCCCCTCACTGACTTCCAAACGGCAAATTTTAGGAACTTCTAGGAAAAAGGAGGACATAAAGCAATTCAAAATTTACCCTTCTTAGTATTCCTTTCAAAATGTTACTATATTTTCAGAAACAACTGGGTGGAGGGTAACAACAACATCATATTTAGTGCTGGGATGGTAAATCCCCCAAAGATGGTCCATTAATCCAGTTATTTAGCTTTTTTTTTTTTTTAACAGTGTCTCCAGACCTGTTCAAATTCAATAGAAATACTGTTCTCTTAGGATGTTCTGATTGTTCCTACATATAAAATTAAATAACTTAGTCACAGGAATATGCATTTCCCCCTGGCTCAGTTCCTTGAGTGGCAAAGCCCCAGGTTCTTTTACAGGTCTTAACAAGTATGATAAACATAATTAACATCAAGTAGAAAACTGTATGGCAAACCTCAACTCTACCTCTCACACTCACAGAAACATGTTGGTTTATAAGGGGACAAAAGTAAGGTTATCATTAGCCAAATCACAGTTCAATAATATAATCCACTACAAGTATTTCAGATTGATGGGTAATTGACTGGAGGAAATGGTGTTCTCAAGGAGGCGTAGAAACTATAGGTTTAGAACTAATGATAAATACAGAAAAGCGCTTCTGTTGCACCTAATACATTTACCCATGCACTGTTTTGCCCGATGGTGGCATCTTTCCCCCAGCCTGCGAAGGCAGGGAATTACGATCCAGGCCACTCAGGAGACAGAAAACGCGTCACACTCTTGTGCGGACTTCGAACCGGGGACCCTGCTTACTGTCTGAGACCATTCGGTTACCCTGCCACCCCGCAGACGGTGGGCCGGGAAGCCAGCGAAGGAGCGCCAGCCCCCTGCCCCAAGCCCCTGCCCCCACGTACTCTCGATCCTCCAGCAAGCCTCCTCGCAGGCCTCCCGAGTCTCGAAGTTGTTGGCGTTGCCCTCGCAGCCCCCGTACATGAACTGGTGGCAGCTCTGGGTGTACCTGCTGTAGTAAAAAGAGGGGATCCGGGCGCGGCAGGGCCCTTCGTCGGGGGGCAGGAGGCAGATCTCCGCGTTGTTTCCTAGGGGAGGGACAGAAGGGTCAGGGAGAGGGAAGGCGCTCAGCCGCTTCCCCGGGGCGGGAGGTTTCCTGGTGCAGAGGGGCCTCTCCCGAGAGAGAAAGTACAAGCTGGGGCGCCAGGGACCTCGGCAAAGGGGGCAGAGAGCGTGGGTGGGGGTCGCCCTGGAGGCTGCCGCCGGGCCAGGAGGAAGCCAGAGGAGGAGGGGTCCTGGATGGCCGATACCTAGACGCCCCTGAGCAGCGTCGCCCGGTGCAGTGCCCACCACGAGCAAAGGCAGAAGCAACAGCCTGAGGGTACACGTAGGGTCCATGGCGTCCAGTTCCAGCGGCCGCGGGACGAGAGGCCCCAGAATGCGCGGGCCGCAGGAGGGTGCGCGGAGTCCAGCCCGTGTGCCGCGGTGGGTGTCCGCTTTATGTAGGGTGCTGTCCTCCCGACCCCGGACGGGGCGGGGCCTGGCTGAGTGGGGCCGGGAGGGGAGGCTGATTCACGCCCCAGCCGGTGATCCTGCTGCTATCTAGGCACTGGAAAGTGTGGGTGTGGGTGGGTGGGAGAGGGGGGGACAGGAATTCCCCTCCAAGTTGAACCTGTCTCCACAACTTTCTCTGGAAGCCAGCAGGAATGACCAAATGGAGCACTTTGTGTCAGTGATGGGAAATCGACAAACACGACAGAGAAATAATTGCATAAGGTTCCAACTTGTAACATTACCCTGAAGACTGAATCTACACTTTGAAAGCATGAAGTTCACGTAAATGAAAAGCGGAGAGAAAGTGTGAAATTCATTGGGCTGAGGCTCATTATAATATACTCTTTAATTAGGTTAGAAATTTAAGTAGATATGTGTTTATTTACATTATGCATGCACATTTCAATCAAGGTCCACTTTACATTTAATAAAAGGCTCATAATATATCTTAAATGTACAGTTTCAAGAATTGTTCACAAATATGTATACCCTTGTAATCACCACTCCAATCAAGAAACATATCCATCACCCCAGAATATTTAAGCATACTCTTCTCCAGACACTCCATCCTCAAGCCAGAGGCAAGCACCCTTCTGATCACCATAGACTGACCTGTTCTTGAATCTCATGCAAACAAAGTAATAAAGTATTGCTTTGTACTGCATTCGCTCCACTGATGTTTTTAAGATACGCCCATTTGTTGTATAGTTTGTTCCTTTTAAATGCTGAGGAGCCTTACAATTTGTTAATATACCACAAATATCCTGTTACTGGACATTTGTGGTGTTTCTAGCTTGGGATTATTGCAAATAAAGCTACTTTGTATGTACATACAACTTGTATTATTCTTGGGTAAAATATTTAGAAATATTAGAAACTGACAGTTTTCCAAAAATGATAATACTATTTTACAGCCCCATCAGACATGTGTAAGAGTTGTAGCTATGTTTTTGGAGCAGGGACATAAAAGTCCAAAGACAGGTGGCCTTGGGGATCCTGAAATTTTGACCAGATCAGCCCCTTCCCGCACAATGTCAGAACATCTGTTAAAGTTCATTGCTCCTTTGGCATATCAGCCTGAATCTAACTTTTTTTTTTTTAATCCTCATCTGAGGATATATCTATTAATTTGAAAGAGAGACATTGGTGTGAAATATCGATCCATTGCCTCCTGTACATGCCCCAATTGGGGACCTAACCTGAAACTTAGGTTTGTGCCCTGACCAGACATCAAAACTGCAACCTTTTTTGGTATATAGGATGACCCTCCAACCACCTGAGTCACCTGGCCAGGGGAGTCTAACTTTTTATTTATACAAATCATATTATCTACTCTGGGATTTTACATGAAATATTAAAGATATTTTGGAGAACATTTTCATGAGTTCACTTGAGGAATGTGACTTTCCTTCCTCCTCCTTTTCCTCTTGTTCTATTTAATATTTTCAAGAGAATAATTATTCCTGGCTTCTCCTGAGGATATGGGAGGTAATTTATAGGATTTCTCTCCCAAGATTCTAAGAATCCCTGTGATCACAGTGGGTTAATAATCTGGGATATTTTGCACATCATAGCTTCTTGTGCCAGTTTTCAGTTATGCTGACATCATGGCATACAATCATATTCCTAGGAAAACTAGCCTTGTCTGGAAATACTCAGTGTCACTTATGCTGTCAGATGACCAGATATCTGTGCTTAAGAATCAAAGAGACACCAGGATAGATGTTTCCCACCCAGCTCTCCAAGAAGAAGAATGGAACTGGTTTGTATACTTAACTGATCTCTGTGGTGCAAATGCTCCCACTATGGCCAAGTTCAACACAGTTCCTCAGAGTCAGTGTAGGCTGGCTTTAGCGCACCAACCAATGAGACAGCCAGCTGGTTTTACAGACACATCCATAGGAGAATCAGATCAGACCCTTCCAGTACCTCCCAAATATTACTAGAGAAGGGACATTTTTACCAGACATTTAGCTGGGATCATGTTCAGAAGTTAATTCAACTTCAAACTTACCTATTTCCATTCTTCTGTATATGATTAAATGCATCTTCCAAATGGACTAAAATTAATTGGACTGAGTCTGAGTTAAATTTGTCATTCAGTACTGACTATTGTCACTTCTGTTGTTTTTAGCTGCTGGCACTTTTTGATCACCTTTGCTTCATGTAAAATGAGGAATCTTTTGAATTAGGGCAGATTATTTTGGGAAATTGTACGACATAATAGGAAAATAGACTTGAGAGGCAGAGAAGACCTGAATTTTATTTCTTGCTCCTTTGGACCAATTGAATAAACTCTCTATACCTCAGTTTCCTTATTTATAAAATAGATAATAACTGTGCCTTAGAAGTGTGTTGTGAGGATAAAGGGAAAGTGCATAGGCACTCCAAGTGAGGTGCTTCTGCTCCTCACACACAGGCGCAGCCTCCACCCAGATCCTCCCACGGCCCAGTTCCCACGGTGCCTTGGCATCAACCCCAGTCAGGAAATAGCCCTATGAACGGTCCTCGTAGGCCTGAAATCTGTGACTTGGCTCCTGTCAGCTCTTTTGTTTGGCTGAGCTCAGAGACTATCTCTCTGCCCAGGAGTTGCGCATTCAGACATCACTGTGACTATCTCTTCTGGAGAAATGAGTTCCGGGGTCCTCTCAGCCAGAGCAGAGTACTGTCTACTCAGGCCTGCTGTGTAAAACCCGCTGTGGCACAGAGTCTGTAGACACGGGTTGAAATCCAACCCAGAGGTAGTCTAGAAATGTCAGTTTCCTCCCCTTATTTTATTCTAAAAAGAGTGCATCTTTAACACCTCTGCGAGTACAGAGCGGGACAGGGAAGAAGGAGAATTGAACAAGTGGGATCATTAGAAGTTTGAGATTGTCAAGCCAGGTTATCAGAAAGGAAATTGGTCTTCTTATCGGAAAGTTCTTGAGTACTTTTATATCCATGAAAGAATATCTTCTGCCCTGGCCAGTTTGGCTCAGCGGTTAGAGCGTCGGCCTGCGGTCCGGAGAGACCCGGGTTCGGTTCCCGCTAAGGGCACCTACTTCGGTTGCAGTTTGTCCCCAGCCCTGGTTGGTCGTGCGGGTGGCAGCCACTCGATGTGTCCCTTCACGTCGATGTTTCTCTCTCTCTCCCTTCCTTTCTCTCCCTCCCACTCTATCTGTACAAAAAATGGAAAAATATCCTCGGGTGAGGATAAAAAAAAAAAAAAAAAAAAGAATATCTTCTAATATTAGGGGAAATCTAAATTTCCTGGGACTATTTTAAATTCTTGAATGTATTATCCTTAGGACCATGCGGAGGGAGCCATGTAACCACTACAATCAGCCTCTGCAGGCGTGTCATTGAACTTCTATTCCCTTAAACCACTGTCTAAGCCAAAGGTTATGACATAGCTGAGGAAAGCAATTCCTTTGTCCAGAGTCAACAGGAAATGCAAGGCTGGAGGGAACTGGGAAGAACAGTCACCCAGACTGATTTGTCACTGCAATGCCAAGTGACAGCTCAAGTGGCTGCCGCTAAACACAGAGGTCAAAATAGTTTGCGGTTCTGTAAAATAAGGCATGGAATTTCTATCAGAATGCCAAAAGGAACTATAAATACCATCTGTTCCAGTATTTTCATTTTACAAAGTTACAAAACTGAGACCTAGCAAGATAAAATAGTTTATCATGTTTACCTACCTTAGTCATTGGCAGGCCGAGACTAGAATCCAAGTTCTTGAAACTCAGCCCTATAGTCTTTCTAATATACCCATACCTGGGCTCTACTCCACCAAGACATTTGAGTAGGGAAAAAAAAAAAAAAAAAAAGAATTAAAACACACAAACACTACAGTGAGTTCAGGAGCACTTATCTGATCCCTGCCTCTGTTCTTTCCCACCAACCCCCTCCCAGGGCCCCATAATAAATGAATATAAAGTTGATTTGGAACACATTCACTCCTGGAATCCCCATGTCTTGAACTTGTTGTTCTATCCTGTGAAGTCCCATGGGCTTGGAAGGCAACCATGAATTTAAGGAAGGGGTTGAGGCAGATGGTCTTCCTCTTTGTCATCATAGAGGAGGGTGGTGTGTCTAGCTTATGAGTGAATGAAGAGAAGTCAGTGAGCCCAGTGATTTGGGGACCTGTGTTATATAAAAACATAATCACTTAAGGAGTTACAACAAGAACTCCTTAAAAAAAGTTCTTGCTGCCCTGGCCAGTTTGGCTCAGCGGTTAGAGCGTCAGCCCGCGGTCCAAACAGACCCGGGTTCAGTTCCCGCTGGGGGCGTGTACCTTGGTTGTGGTTTGTCCCCGGCCCTGGTTGGTCCTGCAGGTGGCAGCCACTCAATATGTCCCTTTCATGTTGATGTTTCTCTCTCTCTCTCTTTCTCTCTTCCTCTCTCCCTCTCCCTCCCTCCCTCTCTATCTGAACAAAAATGGAAAAGTGTCCTCGGGTGAGGATTTAAAAAAAAAAAAGTTATTGCTGCCTGTTAGTCTACGCCCTGTCAAAATAAAGTCTGAAATGAGTCCAGCTGGCACCAACAAGGAGTTGACACATCTGCTAAGAAAGCCTGTTAATCTTTTCTGAGAGATTAGGGGTCATGAGGATTTTGTTAAAGTTTAGGCAACTGGAAATGTTTACTCTAATGCGCCCTCTGTCTGACTCAGAGCGCATTTGTAAGTGTTATTATATAATCAGTTAGTGCCACATAAAAGGAAGAGACGTTCCCTAAGCCTAATTTTACTATTCTCATTCTCCTTAGGAGGACCGAGATAACGGAATGTGTAATGTATCTCTTACCATGGGCATTCCTTCATTCACTTATTTAAAAAAGAAACAGAGTAAATAGTTAAAATATGCCCAACTTTGTGCTAGGTATTTGGGGTGAATGCATTAGTATAATAGGGTAGACAGATGTTCATGATATAACCCAGTTGCAAGACAGTATTCTTAGTACAATATTTAAAATATGTATCAGG